AAAAAAAAAAAAAATCTTTTGAATTATGTGCAAATCCCTATATAATTTCACAATTTCAAATTTTCAAAATGATTTTGAAATAGAATAGTTTCATATACGACTGGTCATCGATCATCAAGTGTCACCACTCGATCTTTTAATACGTACGATCTTATTATCATCGTCCAATAATTATAAATATAGATCGGGGAAGTTTGACCAAACTATACTTTAAAATCGATAAAATTTTCGAATAATAAAAAATTCTCTTTTCTATTTCTCGACGAGTCGCGGTACCAAGGAACGATAGAGGTGTTGAGCGAAAGGGACGAGCAATTTTAAGGGAAACTCACCCTTCCTCTGGCCAGCATCTGTTCGGCAGCGTACACGTATCCTCCGCATCGAGGACAACCCTCTCCTTCTGGCGCCTTCGCGATGGCTCTTGGTTCCAGAATGGCGTTCGATCCTCTCGCGAGTTCCCTAAAAACGTGCCCCTTGTAGACATCAGATCGTCACTTCACCCGTTTATAGTGATGAAAAAAAGCTGTGATTCCCAATTGGCGTGCCAACGCCCCACAAGAATTCCACTCAATTTCTCACATATTTGGAATTAACTTCTTTCACAGCCGATTCTGTTTTTTTTTTTCATCCTTTTCTTTTTTTTTTTTTTTTTTTTTCGTGATATTAAGATAATCAAAGCGGCGAGGGATTCATTAAAATCAAGGGATTAAAGAAATAGAATCCGGTTTAAAAGTTACTCGATTTGCAGCTGTTGTTGAATTTTTTTTTTTTTATTCGAACTTGGATTAAAATAAAATTGGATTAAAAAATTGCACATTTATCATCAATTGAACGAAGTATGAATGGTAAAATATCGATAAAAATAAAATAAATAAAGTCGTAAACTCGAGTAATAATTAAGACAGAATCTATATAATTTTTTGGAATTTCAATTACGAAGTGAACTTTACTTTCAACCAGCTGCAAATGGGATAATAAACGGCTGCGAAAACGTTAATTCGTCATAATAAGGGAGAGATGAGAATTAATAATCTCGAA